AGGCCGGAAACTTATCAATCCACCCTCGTATATATAGTTAAAAAAATATCTTTATTAGAATCCTTAAAAATCAATAATGTTTTGTATAAATAAGCAAAATTAATGATCAACTAATTAGAATTATAAACTGTAAGATCTTACGTAATTATGATTTTTATAGTTTCTAATTGAACTATTAATCGCTTTTGATAATAAATACTCAGACCGAATGAGTTAAAAAAAGGCTTCTCCATCGATTTTGCTTACATTGTTTATTCCTACTGTTAAATCATATTTTTGGTGACAGATATGTTTCACATTTAAAATTGCTTTTGGTTATTTAATTATTTTAGTATTTATAAAAACTAATCTCAACATCCCATATTGTATATAATAAATAAATACACCGAATAAAACGAGATTATCGTTTGTTTCTTTGTGATATTACACCTCCAGAAATTGGATTTTTCGTGATCGAAGACGGCCTTGTTAATTAATAATTAGTGGAAAATACTATGACTAATGGCTCTTTCTGTCTTCTATAAAACCGCTGTTTTTGTTCGTTCTTACCAGAAATAAGCTTTTACCGATCGAAGGGGATTTTTTTATTACCATTGAATGATAAATTAAACGTAGCTACATGATATTTTCGGGAAAGCTTCTTCGTGACCGTAATTACAAAATTTTGCGGCGGAAGTGATGCTAATTGAAAATTTAATGAAGCAGAAGGTAGGAAGTATATAGAAATGCATAATTAAATGAGCAGTTATGATGTACTTAGCACTACAATAAACTTAAGCTGGTTAATTTAGATAATGCGAAGAGCATTTTAACGTTTATTATTTATACTGCATACTCACATAATTAACCAATAGAAAAGTACTTAGTGAAATAATAGATAATTTCTTCTCTAATTGCACTTGTAAGTCTTATAAAAACTAATCACTGAATAACAATCGAGGAAAAAACAACTAACTCTTTTAATAGTGTATCACATGTATTGTTTTCTTTATTTTCACTTGTTTATCTTGCTTTGTGCGTAAAATTTGACTATCTTGTCCACTACACTGACATTAAATTGTTCTTTGTGTTATAGCCGCAGTTCCTAAGATCTTATTGAATAGATTTAGTTATCAAATGAAACACTAATAGGTTACTTCCCGTCAAGGGAACTCGAAAGATTATTGCCACAGGCACTAGCTGGGAGTCAATTTAAATATACTGTATCAAAAGTACATGATAATGTGAAAGAGAGAGGTCAAAATATTTTATTGCTCTTTTGATATTGTTTATAAATATTGACGTGTGCAGATAATTGCCATTAGTTTGCAGCATATTTGAGGCGGTACTTGATCGTCATAAATATAAATAACAAACATTTTTAGGTGTAATTCTGGAAGAAACTAAACAAGAATGGTAATTTATTTAAATACCCTACAATTGTTTCAGTCAATTAGTCATTTTCAAGAGTACTTATAAAAAATGTAAGATACTTTTAATTATCCGACGCTTAAATAAATTTGTATTCATTTAGTTACAAATCTTTTTTTCTAAATTGCTTTTCAACAGCAAAAGAAATTTTGCTTTTACCAATTGGTTTTTATAATTTTGGAACAGCACTGTACCTAGCATAACATTCTATAATTGTTGCTACAACTGTCAAGTCTTTAATTTAAATTGAATATCGTTTTATAATGACAATAGCAAATACCCCTTCTTCGTTTTTGTTTTTATTCCCAATCGATTACGTTAATGGTAGTTCGCAGTAATACTTCGAAATGGCTAAATGTCACTGAATATCGTCGCATTTTAATAGGTGCAACGGAAAGCTTTCAATTTTTTATATTCTTTCAATTTCTTTAATGACAACTTGGTGAACCTCATCGGTAGAAGTTTGCTATTAATTGCGAGTTTATTAATGTTTGACAAGGTCCTTCTCAATTAAGGATATCGACTTTTCAAACTGAATCCACGCTGTAGCAGCCTACGTGATGGGGACGTATTTATACTTAGAAGAACATAGTTCCTAGTCAGTGATTAGTGGATAAGTCAAAATCCATAATTGAAAAAGAGCTTGTATAGCATTTATGACATAAATGGCATTTACCATGCTGTTGATTTTATTTGTTGAACGCTGCTTAATGACAGCAAGTAAATTAGACGGTGTTTTGTTGGAACTGTTTACGTCATACTGATGTGATGCAAAGCGATCGGAATCGCAATACAGGTCTGAATTTATGTGAAGTAGGTAATTGTTATTACTAACTGAAATAAATAAAACTTTTTGTGGACAATATACTTAATGAGTATTAGAAAGAGTAGGAGAGCAAATGACGCTATAGAAGTCAATAAAAAATAGGCGAAATAGTTAGAGACATATTAGAAGCAGAAACAGGAGTAAAGAGGAGTAGAGGTAGACCTAGATTAGATTACTATTCACAAATGGTTAAGGTCTTGAAATACGTTAGTTTTAGAATTGGAATGTGTTGAGGTGTGTGTCCAACAACTCAGGACCAACGACCCTATGGCTATAATACTGAAGTAATGTAATGTGTTTTAAATAATTATTTACGTGATGATATTGAAGATGTCATCATCATCATCATAAGGTCGTCAGTTATAAGACTGATTGGACACGCACCTCCACTCTTTCCTAACCTGAGCTAACCTTCGCATTTCCCTAAAACTAGAACATCCCGCATCTTTAACTATTTATGAACAGTAATCTAACCTAGGTCTACCTATACCCCTCCTAACTCCTGTTTCTGCCTCTAATATGTCTCTGACTAGACCTTCATGCCTGAGAAGGTGTCCTACCAACCTATTTCGCCTATTTTTTATTGAATTCCATAACGTCCTCTGTTCTCTTATTCTTTTCAATACCTCTTCATTTGTAACCTTTTCTACTCACATTATCCTCATCATCCACCTATAATACCACATTTCGAACGTTTCTAACCTTTTCTTTTCCGCCGCGCCCACTGTCCATGTTTCGCATTGAAGATGTAGTAAATTTAATTTCTAATATTGTAATGAAAAGGTTTATGACAAAACTTATTCTTATTTAAAGACAAGCATCTTCAATCCTTCCTTTCTTTAGTCAATCTTCGCATTTTCCAATAACTAGAACATCCGAAATATCTAACTGCCCCTTTTTATT